TCCATTATTCTGCCTGGCCTATAATCTCATCTCTGCCCTTCCTGGCTATCAGCCACACAAAGCCAGCCTAGTTGGAAAAAACAAGGAAGCACCAACCACATAGTGCCAACAGCCAAAAAGATAGAGGATACAGAAAGACAACCATGCAGGCAACCAGAAAGCCCAGCACAGTGGAGCCTCTGATCCTCCTGCAAGTGGGAATGACAGCCCCACATGAACAGTACACAGGGGCCACTCAGAGAAAGGCTTAACTCAGGAAGGGAGAGCAGCTCTCCTCCTAATGCCTCTGATCTCAGACTCACCTCTTACATAGCTCTAGAATATTGCCTTTGATGAAACTGGTACATTTTCCATCTGGAGATTTGTCAGACTTTTTTGGCAGCCATTTACCCCAGCCACAGAGCTCTCCTCCTCTCGTCGCTCCACACAAAAATAGACACAACAGGACCCTCTACATAAATTGCGCAAAGTTTAAATTGTTTCAGAAACTGCATACTCAGCATCTAGGAATGCACATATTGCTTAACGATTTTCTCAGTACCGCATGTGCTGCTAAAGACTTTTCAACCCCTTCACCTCAGGAAGCATATATTTAGTCATGTGTAGGCAAGGATCTATTTTCTCAGAGAACTAATGTCCTAGCTTGAAGCTCAGATAAATCAATAGCCCTTAGATTAAAGCATCTTGCTGCCCTCAAGACAAGTCCAGAAGAATTTCTTTCCAACTGAAGAGAAGTAACGTTTTTATGCCTTTTTCTGCCATTTTGTAAGCCAGGCAAATTTGATTAATTTTTTTGTGTTCAGAGTTAATTAAGTGGTCTTCAGAGACCATAAAGATTTTTCACATCGTTTGCCTTTCTGTGCTAGGAGAGTAACCAGTATTGTTGTCCAAGCTACGACTTTTCCAGGACATTAACTCCTCCAGTGGATAACATCTTCCAGCTCATCCAAATCCTATCTTCTCTACAGGGTCTCCTTTTAAAAGCCCCTTATTTCAGTAGAGGTGCTAGTGGAGTGCCACACCAATGACAGAGCTGTGTACAGATGTAATAATTGTAAAATACTTACAGGGATCTACCTTGTTAATTTCCTACTTTCTTTCCTACCTGTTCCCACAGAACAGTGAATTACCAACACTTAACAAATCTGCCTAGTTGGAAGATGTGACTGTCCTCAATGAAGGAGATGCAACTGAAAGTCCTCCACTGTTTCCCCTAGAAACTTGTCAACTCCAGTCATAGGAAGCACATTTTGCTGCTTGCTGCTCCCCTCTACATTCACCTCTGGGCTGTATTAGATTTTACTCTCTAGTAGACCACCTCATTTCAGTTAACAGCTTGCAGAAAATATGGCTTGTCCAGATCTAAGAGCTTCACAGGTATATCAAAGGTGACTTACAAAGACTTACAAAGATGAGAGCAAAATAAAGATTTGAGGGGACTAGTGAGTGTGTAAAGAAACCAGTTCCCCAACAACTATCCGCACTCAAACATACAATGGAGTTGCTTGTCATGCAAGCCTAAGATTAGTGTTCCCTTGATGAAAATAGTAACCGTCTCAATTCAATTTCAATTCTTGCAGAACAGCTAAAGGCCTGTCCATATTTTCAGGATGTCATCCAGATGTCTGTGGACTTTTATACAGCTTAAAATAAAGGAAAAGCACTTGCAAAGGAAGGATAAAATAGCGTGATGTACAGTCTGAGCACAAAACCCATGCTTCAGCTGTAATGAAAGGATGTTCCTGCAAGAAGCCAGGCAATGTGACACCAAACAGACCAATGGGAAAACAGGTACCCGACCTCTGTGGTAAATTGTACACCACTGTATTCAACAGTGGACAGCATCCTAGAAGGAAAGAGGGCGGGGAAAAAAAAGGAAAAAATGAGGGAAAAAGCACTGAAAATGAGAGCCTTTGGACTTGCCTGAAATTCCACTCACTACAAGGACCAAAGATGCCCACAGGCCCCAGGCCAAATGCACTCCATGGAGGTGTCTGCTTAGCCCTTTCCAGAAACAGTGTGGAAGTTCGCACTCTCCATTACAATGGGGTGAAAGTCCCCTTCATGCAGCAACTCTGCAGCAGCAGCACTTGCACAGAAAGCAGAGGGAACTGGGACCACTTGCCTCCTTCCATGAAGATGCTGAGAGCCCTACCTCTCAGAAGAAAGCCCCAGCCATGAGGCGGCTGTCTGCTGCAGAAGCTGGGAGTCAATGCTCCCCTTCAGACACGAGTCATGCTGTGCAGGTAGGGCTCCATCAGAGAAGGTTAATAAGCAGAGATTGTGTTAGTATACAAGTGTATACTATACGCAATCTCTGCCTATTAAAAAATCATGTTAGTATACATTTGTATACTAACCGAAGAAGTTAAAAACAGATGATTTTTCTCAACTGTGCCTTCCAGCACACTTTGCTCAATGAAAAGAAAACTAAAATCTAGAGGAGTTGTTGCATTTCTTAACCTCTGCAGACTCACAGCAATCATAAGTGGGCAGTCTAACTGCTCAGAAGGTGATTCGACTGCACCGCAATAGAAATCAAGATATCGGTATAGAGTGGGCTACAAAGCACTAAAAATTAAGACCTAATTAAGTTATACATTTGTGCATCATTGCCCTCTCTATTAGAGTTTGGAAAATTGAAGGCAACATGCTATTATACATCATGTGCTATTATTCACATAAGTGCCTAAATTACAGTTTGGGAGATACTAGTTATGTGCTTATTAAAAAGCCATTTAATTCATCATATAATACACAGACTTCTTTTGAGATTAAAACAGAAAACATGAAAGCAGCATCTGAATAGCAAGTCTCAATCAAAAATTATTTCTGCTGCCATAACAACAGTTTTCCCCTCCAGATTTTGGTTTCCCCCTCTCACGCTGAGCAGCAGCAGGGGCTGGAGGAGAGTTTCTGAAGTCTGATTCATGCTATTCATACTTACCTTCTTTAAACAACGCCACACAGAAAAAAGCGTAGTGACTACAAACTGTGAGAAGTGTTCACAACTCCTCAGAAAGCTGTATAAAATTGCTGATAGAAACCAAATAAGAACAAAGTTCAAGGACCTGAATAAATCAGGTTTAGTCCGAAGTTTAGAGCAGAAGGTCTTGGGGTGACAAGAGGGAGGTAAACATCCACATTGGATGGAGCAGCGCTATAGGACTGGTTATTTTGGAAGCAGAGGACATCCTCAGATATGCAAAAAATGGTTAGACGTGGGGATACAATCAACTTAGCCTTTGCAGCAGATGCAATGGAAGCTTTGGCCCAGCCTGCGTGGACGAAGATGCTGAGTAGCTGTCAATCACACATGGCCCTTAATGAAGTCCTGCTGATGTTTCACACCCAGCTATCGCTTTTTGTTTCTCTTCCTTATCCTTTTCACCTTGTGCCTAATTGATTACAAGCTTGGCTGGCACTGGGATTTGTTCAGCTTCACGGTACACCAGCAAGGAAGGGAGCCCTGAGAAGGGTCTCTGGCAGGGCCGAGCCCTGGGTCCCCAGCTGGGGTGGCAGCACCCCACCAGCCCCATCTCCAGCAGCACAGCATGCCCAGGGACCCATGCCAGAGTCCCAAGGCCACCCAACCCCCAAGCCCTGCCCAATCAGCTGCTTTTCCCTGTGAACACTAACTCCCAAACCCCAAATTCGGGGTTTTATCAGCTAAGCTTTTCAGAAGCCGTTTTATGTCAGAAATAGCTTTCTAAGCACTGTTCTCCTTTCTCCCTCAAAGGATTTCACAGACCATCAGGGAGACAGAAGAAAACTTCCTCTCAGAATTAAAAGTATTTTTAAATATAAATATATATTCAAAACAGGCTAAAATATTTAAAAGAATTCCTAAACTGTGGTTTGTTTCATGTGAAGGAATTTTTGTGCCTTTATCGTTGAAACCACAGCTGTGTAGTTAAAACGGTGTCTGATTTTCCATTTTTCATCTCATCGTTATTCCTTCAACAGTAATTCACACTAACCACAGTGTATCTTTTATCTTAACAGTTGATAAGATTTTCTGAAGCACTACTTTATACAATGTCTACTTGAGCTAAGAAGGCTATTACCATCTTCATGTCAGAGAGAGATAAATGACAGCTGCCCCAACACTGCAGGCTACTCCAGTCACATGAGCAACATCTTTCCCAAATTACTCTTTTAACCATTAAATATGTGTGTCCTCAGTTAGAAACCACCAAACAGAACACAGTCCTCCTCCACAACCAGCTTTAACAACCAAGGATGCCACACTGCTGCTGTAATGGTAAGTGACAGCACCAAGTGACAGAGCAACTGGCTCCAACAAGGTGCACGTTATCCTTCATTTGACTTCATGTATTCTTACCACTTGCTCTCAACTACGTGGGCCTCAAGCTTTTGAAAGAGAGCAGAAATCCAAAACGACATACATTTAGCCTGAATGGGGTCTTTGAAGGTTTCCAAGTCAGACTTCCTTTGGATTCAACAACCAGCTCTTGGAAGAGCTAACAGCAGCACCTTTCTTGTATCCTTGCAGATGGGATGCCCATACCTACAGCTAATCCCCAAACCATCCCTTTATAATCTCCCCAAGCTTCTCTGCCTTCAATCTTCAGCATAGGAATTAAAAAAAAAAAGGTCTGGAAAGAAATGGAACAGAAAAAGAGCTTAAAAATTCCTTTCAAATTTTTTCCTTTTGTTTTGACCTGTCTTACTGTAAGTTAATTTAAAACTAAGACTGCAATTTTCAAGGCACGAAAAAACCCACAGGATAAACAAAAAGAACTTTTACATGAAGGAAAGGAATGCAGTTGGAACAAAATATATCAGTATTAATGCTTTTAAAGAACTGAACAGGAAATTCACAAGAAGCCATCCTTAGCCACAAACATTTGGCGGTTTTCATTTAAAGGTACTGGTGTATCACAACTTTGACCACCCGTCTAACTGTAAATATTTAGGGCATCAGGTAAATTCAGAGAAAAAGCTTCTTTTTTAGTCAAGAACACCCAGAAACTTACATTTCTCAAGAAAGTCTCCTCATTTCAACTGAAAGAGCCACCACTCAGTGCCAGGGAACACTTCTCCAGCACAGCTTCTCGTGTTGATAACGAGCTGGTTGGGCTTTCTCCTCCTTGCTGGCCGAAGCAATCCCTGCTGAGAGAAGAGGACAATGAAACACCCAAGTAACTTCAAGCAGGGTCTAGGTACCTACTTCCTATGCAGGTCTTTCTGGTTTTCTCCCCGTGACGAGGCAGCTAAAGGCACTCTGGAAAAACAAAACACCCCAGCAACGGGAATTGGGAGCCCAACGCGACTGGATGTGTTTGCAAATCCTGCCAGGAGCTTAATGCCTGCTGTAAAACGTGGCTGCCCTGATGAGGAAAAGCAGAAATACTCCTGAGCACATGCTATTCAAAGACCGTGTCAGCTTAGGCTGCCAGGCTGCTAATTCTTGTTTTTATAAGTTTTTTTTTAAACAATCTGTTGGCTAGTCTTTCAAGGAGAAACAGCCTGGCACTGACTCCAGGTCATTTATGAAGTCTTTTCTTGTCTTAACCATTTATAATAAAAAAAGAGCTGAGCCGCAAGTAAACGAAGGACCAGCCAGAAGAATTTCCCTCGTGCCAGTTCCTGGATGTCACACGATCCCCGAGGCTGTACCTACCACGCCAGTTGTCATCTCCATGACCAAACGCCAGCTTGCAGCTGGCACTCAGAACGCCAGAGCTAACAACTGAGGTGGAGAAGTCTCCCCTGGGGCTATGGAAAGTGATGCCTTAGGGACACCTATGGCCCAAATCTATGACTCAGTAAGAAAAGACAGAAGCACATCTGTTTTACTGTCAACAGCACAACATTACTCAAGCCACCTCCCTCCACTTTTTTCCCCCCCAAATCCATTATCACAGTTACCAAATATTTAATATATGCAGGAATCCTTACATAAACTAGACGTTACAGCACATCTTAAATTCCCCAGCGCTGCCAATGTAGACAGATCCCTTTGTGATGAAGCATGACAAGGTTCTGCAGGGAACTGAAGGCAGGCACCTTCGTGGCACAAATCCCCACCACCCGTACTCCCCTCTTCTGGTGCCTTGCAACACGGTTGCCTTAGCAACATAAATCATCTTACTGGTCATTAAATACTATTTTTCCATATAACGTTAAAACTGTTCCACAGTAAAGTGTTTTTCTAAATATAATGCTTTCCCCAATCAATGCTAAAAAACACTACTTAAGCAGTTTGACACGGCCAGGGGTTTTAAAAAGAAAATTAAGATAATTTACCAGCAACCTTTAATCACTTGGTTTGATGGGGAAAAAAAAAAGAAAAAAAACCAGAAAAACACTCCCAAAAACAACCACCAAAAAAAACCCAAACAGAACTCATCAGCCACATTGACCTTTCTCATCCATTTGAACTTAGAGGAAGCAGTTGTACAGCAGGAAAGGTTTTATTAATCTTTCTCTGCATTTCTGGTCACACGGGGACACGAGCAATGAATGCTACTGCAGGTTACCCATGGGGGAGGGACGTGTTCTGTCCTGATTGCAGTTAAAAGGTATGTCTGTACAGAAAAACCTCAAATAACACTGCAAGCTCGCGTTTTCCTCGGCAGGGAGCAAAACACAAGAAGGGAGATGGAGGAGAGATGTTTATGGCCCAACCTGCCAAGGCAGACTGAAACGGGGCCAAACGGCACATGTGCTTGTGCCTCCTCTTCCCTGTGCCACAGCTCCCCTGCCTCTGCCCCCTCTTTAATCACGTACAAAACCCATGAGGAATCTTCCACTGCTGTGCTCCTGCCTTCAACACAAAGCCATGCATTTTCCCCAGGCTGCTCTGTATCAAACCCGCTGCAGTCACTAAGCGATTGCCAAACACTTCTGCGTCCAAACACAGCTACCCTCCTTCACAACGTACTGCAGCCTGGTTTGGGAAGAAAAAAAATAGCAGCAAAGTCAATAAATCTTTAGCTTTGGGTAGCTTTGCTTCATGTTTTGCAGCTTCTTCATATATATATATACACACACACACACATATATATATATATAAAGATGTACTACTTGTCAAAAGCGAATGTTTTCAGCTAAAGAGTATCTTGACCTCAATATTTCACCAGTCTAATTCAGTCTCCAGTTTCCCCTCGTCAGACAAGTAGCTCCTCTTGGTTCTTGGATATATATCAATTTTAAAGAAGTACCAGCTGAACCATTAGGGCTAAAAGCGCTCATCTGAAAAACAATATCCTGAAACTACAAAGGTCACACTGTCTGCCAGGAAAGAGCATCGGAAACGTGCTCCAACCCGGCTGGTCCCAAGACACTGTCAGCCCAACGCCAGACCCAGCTGAGAGCCAGAGACTTCCAGCAAAAGCAAAGCTGTCTCTGGCTTGCACTCTTCGGGATGCAAATGACCCAACGTCAAGATATTTTTGGAGAGGGAGAAATAAGTTCATATGAATTCATAAATTGATATGAACAAAGTGACGTCTTTCAAACATGATTCAGGCCCCGCTTTTACCAGAGGGAAGTACTTCAGCCCATTTATCCCATTAGCATCAGCAGGCCAAAAATCAAAGTTCTGCAGGCATTAAAGTACTGCTTAAAATACAAAAGCAAAGCTGAAGAATCAGACGTTGCTAAGCAAAAAGGACAAAATATTTTTCTGGCAGGTAAAAATGTTTTCCCTGAACATCAAAATCCCTGTCACAACTTAATAGCAGCATCCCAAGCCATTCAGATCCAAAGGTCTTTGAGGAAGTTGGGAACAACATCTTTTATGGAATTAAGCATGCACAATGCCATGTTTAAACCCTGACCACAAGCAACCTGAAGTCAGCACTCCTCCACAGACAGTCCTACCTCACCTCAATTCCAACAGGTTACTTAGAAGTAGCACACCGTGCATCATTAACAAGGGTGTCAAATGCCTTCCTTAAGAAAAGAAAAGCCTATTTCCTCTGGTGCTCTTTGAGTCTAACACAGCACAGAGCTTACCACCTGAATAAAAGGTTCACCAATGACTCTACATATAAAAATCTCAAATTGAAGATTTTCAGTGCAGTCGTATATTTAGGGAGGTCATCCCTCATCCTTGCTCTGATGTCCTTGCTGTCTACCCTACAGAGCTGCCTTCATTTGCTGTGCAGGCCTGCAAGGAACAAGAACAGACACTGCTGGGATCATCATTCCCTGTCTTCATGGGATAGAGATGGAATAGGCAGTTCCTAACCCACCAACCACAAACTGGGGAAGGCTGGTAGCAGGAAACTTCTAGGGCTGGTCGCCCTTCCCTGGTGCTACATTCAAAAATATGATCACTTACCCACAGCAGGGCTACACTGACATTTAAAAAAAAAAAAAAAAAAAATCAGGGAGGGGAGATGGTGCTTGGTATTTTTAAGTCAGACAAATATAAAACATAAACTAAGCCCCAAACCTGGGGGGCTTCAGGTTACACACAACTTGACTATGAACTAAATTCAGATAATGATAGCATTTAATTAATAGTAACATATTATGCAAACTTCTGTATTGAGCACGCTGGTTTTATAATTATGTATGCAGTGAAGTCCTTGCCAAAGCCTTTGCAGCAAGCAGAGAAAAAAATCAAAACTCTACTGCTGCTTTTTGAATCCACCTCCTGGTGAGATCCAAGAGACCAAATGGGAAGCTGCATCCACAGCCTGGGAAACTGCATGGCCACGAGTGCTCCAAAGCCCAGGAGCTATAGAGCACTTTTCCCATTTCCCAGGCTGAGTAAGCCAGTCCAGTTCCCCCTTAGTGCCACTTCCAAAGACAATTAGCAAAGTGTGGTTTCAATTAGCTTTTCCAGAGCCATGATCACACAGAAGAGTACTGTACGACTTCAGGAAGAAAAAGTGTGATAAAAAAAAAAGGCAAACTGAGGCGGAGCTGGAAAGGAAACTGGGAAAGACCAGAGAAAATGAGAGACAAGAAATCCCAGAGCATCCCCCCACAAAATGCTGGGTATTACTTGGGGCAAAGCCAACGTACGTGTTCAGAATGAGAAGCCTTCTTATACCGAGTTGGGTTTAAAATTATCTCACTTCTCATTATCAAAAAGATTAATTTCTTCCTAGACAAGGCTTCTACAGTACACTGTATAATGGCTCGCTATATCTACACATCTACAACATCCCATTTAATACCGGCAAGATTACCGCCTCTTTTGTGCATTCCTAACTTATGGGTGCCAAAGCTGTTGTGGCAATATCCCATCGCCAGCCTTGGGGTCTCCTTTGCTCTTCTATTATTTCCCCTTTAGCCAGACCCTGAACTGCTTTATAACTGTAATGACCTGCTCCTCTAGTTTAGAGTTTCCCCACTTTATGCCATAATAAGTCCAGTTCCCCCTTAGTGCCACTTCCAAAGACAATTAGCAAAGTGTGGTTTCAATTAGCTTTTCCAGAGCCATGATCACACAGAAGAGTACTGTACGACTTCAGGAAGAAAAAGTGTGATAAAAAAAAAAGGCAAACTGAGGCGGAGCTGGAAAGGAAACTGGGAAAGACCAGAGAAAATGAGAGACAAGAAATCCCAGAGCATCCCCCCACAAAATGCTGGGTATTACTTGGGGCAAAGCCAACGTACGTGTTCAGAATGAGAAGCCTTCTTATACCGAGTTGGGTTTAAAATTATCTCACTTCTCATTATCAAAAAGATTAATTTCTTCCTAGACAAGGCTTCTACAGTACACTGTATAATGGCTCGCTATATCTACACATCTACAACATCCCATTTAATACCGGCAAGATTACCGCCTCTTTTGTGCATTCCTAACTTATGGGTGCCAAAGCTGTTGTGGCAATATCCCATCGCCAGCCTTGGGGTCTCCTTTGCTCTTCTATTATTTCCCCTTTAGCCAGACCCTGAACTGCTTTATAACTGTAATGACCTGCTCCTCTAGTTTAGAGTTTCCCCACTTTATGCCATAATAGATGGCATAAAGAACCGGAAAAAAAAAAAATAAATCAATTTATACATACTAACCCATATTTTAAGGTGGAAAAAAAAAAGATCATTTACTCTGGCACAGCCTACATATGGATAAATTTATGCTGCATTTTGTCCCATTTTCCATTCATGGTTTTAATCATTCTTTAATATTTGTTTTAAAACTT